AATAATAATATTAATAATAATTTTTATTATTAATAAAACAAATTATGCACAACTGCAATTGCTCACCACATATGGAAGGACAAAAAAACCCCAATGTCCAGTCTGTTACCAAACAGTGATCCTGCCTCCCAGCTAGCTTCCCCAGTTATATACGGAGCATGACATCATATGGTATGGAATATCCCTTTGGCCAGTCTGGGTCAGCTGTCCTGGCTGTGCTCTCCCAGCTTCTTGTGCACCTGGCAGGGTGCGGGAAGCTGGAAAGTCCTTGACTTAGTGTAGACACTACAACTACCTCACAACTAAAAACATCAGTGTGTTATCAACATTATTCTCATACTAAATCCAAAACACAGAACTTTACCTGCTACTAGAAAGAAAATTATGTCAGCTGAAACCAGGATACCTGCCTAACTGCACACAGCTGAATAACCTTCTCTCAGAAGGCCATCTTTTGTGATGCTCAAAGCAGGTATACTATTTATGTCAACATGTAAGCAGCACAAAATTTTAGCCCTTTGATTTTTTTTCCACTCAGAGACCTGCAAGTTATTCTATGCTATCTCTTTCCAATAATAAATACTCAACCAGATAGTTTGATTTTCACCATATGCTATTAAGTCTTTCCTTCTAAACCTCTTTTGACTAAGGCAAATGACAGGGAAACTGAGACAAAGATCAGTGACACTGAAAGCCACTAAGACACCTGAAGTACAGCTATGACTGATATAAAAAAAAAAAGTAAGAATTACAGACAAACACTCCGTTTACTTACATGATGTATCATCTAACCACTCGATATGAGCAGGAGGATACTCTTTGAAATAGGCAAATATGTCCTGCGTACTCATCTCATCCACCCCACAAATGTAAATTGTGTCCAGTCTCACTTTAGGAATTGCTATAAAGAGGAACAGATACAAAGCTGGTACTCATTTCTATAGAGCAAGCTTTTATATTAGTAACATATGGGTTTATAAAGCAAACATTTTAAAGAAGCTAAAGGGAAGCTAATTAAAGCAAAGTATGATGTACAGCATTCTAAAACACCAGAACTTGAATTATTATTCCACAATGCAAAACTTTAAGAAGCATTTGTAGATGCAAGTATTGCACAGTGATCAAACTGACTTAAAACATTATTATTTTTTTTTTAAATGCTGCCAAAGTACTACCATGAAGTACTAAAGAGCCAGAATACTAACAAGGCCTGAGACCAGGACACGTGTACAAGGCACTTCCACCTGTAAGATCTGATGGAGAGCTGTTATAGGCCACGGCTTCGTGGGTCCAAGCTGCCAGTTGGAAAAAAAGCCTTGAGAACTAACCGGATGCCAAGAGCGCCAATCTGTTGTGCACACATCTCCTGGCTGATCTGCTTATATTCCAACATGCCCAGCTTGCCATCTAAGAGCGTGCGCAATCGGTCCAGCTTCACTGTGTGTACAGCACAGAAACTGATGTCACCGTGCACGGGACACAAAGTCCTCTGCTCATACATAAACAGTGACCAAGGTCTTTTCAAAGAATGTAAAGATTCTTAAAGCAGCACTGATCCAGAAGACTAATTTTGGACACATAGCACTAGGTGCTGTTGCCAAACAGTAAATAAGGTACACAAAAAATGTTTTCTTCTTTCTTGGGTTGGTAAAATGAGGAGCAAAATGGTAAGTGTCAAGTACTTTAAGAAGTAATGACATTAAAACAAAACCATGGAAAAAAAACCCTACCAAAGTGATTTCTTTTGGCAATGATCTGGGAAAACCTCTGGGGATGCAGGAAATATTACAGGATAAATCAAGTAAAGGAACTGTGAGGAAATAAACAAAGGGACCTTTTCTTCTTGTCTGTTGGATAAACTTATACCTTTCTTCATCATGTCCCGATCCAGTGCCACATTCCTTTGGGCAAGATTCACTTCAGCTCGAAAATGAAAGCGTTTTGCTCTTTGTTCCTTTTTCTCAATTGCTTCCTGCAAAATGAATAACAATGCAGTCAAAACAGGAATCACAGCAGTATTCCCAAGAAGAGATTTAAAATAAAATTTACCAGACAGCAACAATCTGTATTAATAATTGTATAAATTCTGAAGAGACCTGTATATTTCAAAATGCAGAAATAATTCACTGAAACATTTCTGTGCCGTGTAATAGTTTTAATGGAGGTCCAGCAACATAATGGGAATCAAGATGCACGGAAAACAAGCTATCCCAGACAGCGTTCGGACTCCATGATGGAGTAGTAACATTCTTTTCCTTCCTAACAAACGTACGGAGGCTATGGTCAAAAAAACTCTCTCTCAAAACAAGCACTCCTACCACATGGAAAATCAGTCTTCGAGGAGTTTTTTCCCCATCTGTTTTTTGAATATATACAAAAATGTAAACTTGTCTCTCTGAGCATGAGTTTACCAACACTAGCTGAGTGCTGACTATGCACATCTTATTTAGACTGGCAATTCAAGCTGCTTTTAAGTAGCTCATGAGCAACAGCTTATGTGGATCTTGTGCAATTTTTGAAACTGACTGAGAAGCACCTTATTCTACAAAATTTATTAGGAAACACTATACATTTTCAGACCTTATTAATCAAAGTAAAATTTGGAACACAAATTTGGATTACGCAAAACCTGCCGTCAATCATATCCAAATAAACATGGGCTTTTTACTAATTTTTAAAGATTGAAAAACTTTAAGAAATGTGGTCAAAGATGTTTTGGCAGATTTGCATTGTTAAAGAACATAACAAAAGATGACAGCTTTCCCCTGACTACGACAACTTCAAATCCTTTACTGAATTAAAATATACACAAGTTAGATATTGAAGCCAAAAAACTGATTTTCAGTCTTCATCTGGAGTTCTTTTGGTACTCTTTGATAAGCACAATCTTCTGAGCTTCAGTAAGGTAAAATGGGAATTCACGTCATTTGTCAACACACTGTTGTGGTGGGGATTCATATTTGTTAGAACACATAAAATTGTATCAGTCCTATAAAGTATATGACTAAATGATTTTTCTGCATTACCAAAAGCTAGATATAGTGGTCAACTGTACAATATGAAACAACAGCCAATTTGGTATTAAATGTACAGAGATGAGTTGTAGGATTAAGTTCTACAGAATTATGTAACTTTAAGTTATTTAAATGCAACAGCTGTTCATATTCTTCAAGCTATGTCTTAAATAATGAAACAATAAGATGCCCTTGGAAAACACAAGGCAATGAAACTAGATTTTCCTGCCAAGCACTCGTCTTCCTTCTGTCACTCACCTAAGAGAAAAAAAAAAAAAAAAAAATCTCAGCTGACTTGTCTTGAAGGGCTTTATTTTGCAATATTGAGTGGCACCAAGGCAATTTCAAGAGAAATATTTTCAGGTTTTGGCACACAAATTTTTGTAACTTAAAACCAGTAATTCTTACAAGAGATATTCTGTCCTGATGCAGGCCACAATCAAAAGGGGAATCCCCTAGTTGTTGAAAAATGCCAGCTATCTGACCATGAGGCTAAGTCTCTGTGCATACTGGGGAAGAAATAAATGAAACTGTTCATCCTTTCCAGTAGCAATAATTAGAATATGTTGAAGAACCATAGCACAAAAATTACCTTGGAGGTTACATCTATTCCAGTAATGAAACTCCCAGCTTTGTTTTCATATCTCCTACTAGTGTCCTGAAACAAAGCAAAATGGCGGTGAAATCTCAATGAACACTGAAAGCAACATACTTGCTATGCTGAAAAAAAAAATCTGCCTGTTTCTATGAGAAATATATCCTCTTTTCCTTGATTCTTACTCCAAGCTACATCCCTGGATAGACAGGTACACAAGCAATAACTCTCACTGATGTCAGTGAAGGTAAAAGCATATGAACTGAACCAAACTGCCTTTACTATAAGGATTCTTTCCTTTGGCAAAATTTAGTTTCTGGGTCTGCTGCTGCTATGGTTTTTACTTATTTTCTCTCAGCAATACAGAGAAAGTTATCAAACACCCTTCCTAACTAAAATTTCCACAATTTTGGTTTTGGGTATAATTTCCTTGTAAAACATGAACAGATTTAACAGTTATACCTGACTCCTGAAACGTCAGTTTGCAACTTTTCATCTCAAAACTCAGAACACTGAGCCGTATCCACAATTAAACAAGTAACTTTTATCTCTGTTCCTATCAATATTTCAAACCCAACTTCCAAATACCAGCAAGATGAAGCATTACTGTTTTGATACAACCCTACTGATGAAGAGTAAAAGTGGAGAATGCTGTGGGGGAAAAAAAAAGTTTCATTTCCATCAATCAGGACTAGTGAATTCACAAGACAGCACTAAACCACACAGACCCTGGACCAATGACCCAATTCTGTCCCTTCCGTGGTTTGCATATGTAAAAATGGCACCTTTTCATTCTGGCACCCTCAGGACCATCACCTGGCAAAAGTCTGGAGCTGGAAGAACATGCCTTGCTTTCTCTAGGGATAAACGTGTTGTTTACATTTGTGCTGCAATAATTATTTTGGCTAAAGGACTTTTTTCTAGAAAGTAGGCCAGTCTTAGTTTAGAAATACCAAACTACACACAATCTAACTGCTTTTTTTAGTAACAGCGTCAAAGTTTCTGTAAAACTGCCAAATGTTTAGAGTTATGAAAAAGAAAAACAAAAAAAAGCATTTTTTTAAATACCCCCACTATCTAAGGTTGACTCATGGAGCACAAGGAAGTATAGTAGGGTGCTGTCTCTTAGGTCACATATTTGGTAGAAGCTCAAGCATGCTGGTAAGTCAGCTAATTAGAGATTAGTTTCTGAAGAAATTTCCACACAAGTTTTGAGAGCAAAAGATTACTTAGGAGGTTAGAAGAACTCTGACCCATTGTTATGCATTAGACCTGATCCTACTGACACTTGTACATAAACAATTAGCAAAAAATGAAAAAGGAGGCGGGGAGAAGAATAGAAAGGAAACCCTCAAAACTCACTCAAAGCCCACATTCCCAGTGCCTCCAACTCAGTTGTCCCACGGTCACCCCCCTGCTCCCTACTCCAGCTATTCCCTATGTTCCCTCCTTTTACACTCTCCCACCCACAACCTTCCTCTACAGTCCACCACTACACCCCAAATCCTCCTCTCCACCACCTCCTTTATTCCTTTCGTTCCCAAGCACATCCTGGCCCCTTCTTCTTACGACTTTTCCCCCTACTCTCCTCAGACACCCCTAAGCCCCCTCCTGCCCCGACTCCCGCCACCCTCACCCCATTGCTTCCCGCACGCACTCCCCACTCCATGTCGCCCCTTTTCGCCCGAATGTATCCCCAAATGCCCCTACAGATCGCCGCAGACCCCTCACCCCG